AATAGAAGAACTGACTCAAGCTTTCCTGTTCATTTGCAAGAAATACTTTATGCCCTTCCAGTGTTTTGCACCTACTGAGCATGCCCTGTTTTTATTCTATTCTCCTAATGTGCTCCCAACAGCTCTTCCTTTAGAAAAATATACTCTGCAATAACCTGGAAAGTGAAGTAGACAGAAGACTTCTGAAGCTTCCGCACTGACACAGCATGCACTTGTATACAGTTAGAACCGTGAGGCAGGTCTCAAAAAGTGCATCTTACATAACAATGTAAGTAAATCCAATATAACCTCAGCGGTATATCTTTTTGAAGATATTAACATTGACTGACAAACACTGCATTGTGATGCACTGAGAACTTTGTTACAACTTGGACCAGTGTTTGTAGAATACCTCACTTAACACTTTCAATGTGGTCAATGGGCTGTTCCCAAACTAGGGGCTTAACAATACTATAGTAATAACATTTTTATAACTCTGAAGCCAAAGGTGAATATGAAACTCCCAAAGACAGTATACCAGACACTGCTAAATTATTGCAAGACTATAAAATTCATTCCCTTACATTCAAGTAAATCTTGATTTCATACACAAAAAGAGATAAAATACAGGGTGAAATAGACTTGCACCTGATGGATTTCTATGAACCTTTCAGAGCATGAATATAGGGTATAAAATTTACATTGAGGCTCTTGTAGAAGAAACTGTCAAGAAATCCTTTGAGTTGTGCCCAAGTACATGCCATATGAAAAAGGGTCTATGACACCAGAGTAAAGGTTTCAAATTCGTCAAATTTGGCTTCAGGCACATCACAATTATTTCAAGCAGCCCCTGGTCCCTCCTTTCTCCTCTCCCATGCACCCTATATATTTCAAATCTCATGCAGTCACTCTTTCATGCATGCAATCACAGAATTTTCACACTTTTACACTGTGCCTTGCACTGCAATCCCTATTGTACCTCATGATGCTGCACCTCATGATTTACCTCTGCACAGCAGTCCTCGTCCAGATCCTGCAAGCCCATTACCACTGTCACAGTCCTAAGTCAAGGATTTATAACCTAATTTAACTAAAATCAGCAATAAACTACATTTAAAATGGATGCCTCGCATACTAGTTGTTTACTAAACTGTTTTACAAACCTGTCTTTCTGTCAAGGAACAATTACTTGTCTATCCTCCATAACTCATGACCTTTTTGAAAGATGGGGATTCTTACTGTTCAGGTGCCTTTTCATACCTCATCTACAAGCATAGCAAACCTAAGTCAAGTCAGCCTAGAATTTCATTGTTTTTTGACTGGAGACACGCGAGAAGCCAAAGCTTACTTCAGAGTACAGTTCACACTGAGCTTAGACACTCACTATACATTCCATTACACTTAGTACAACTCCGACCCATAACACTGACACAGGGCACTGTCACAGTGATAACCTTCAACTTGCTTCAAAGACAGAGATTCAATAAAGTGGTTGTATCTTCCTTTTCATAACTCGTAAATCAATCTAACATCTATGAGAAGGTCCACAACAGGGCAATGTTCTCCAGTAAGTTTTGCTCAGAATACTTAACGGGAAGTGTTCAGCTGATAAACATATAAGCTGTCTACGTTCCTGAATGGGTTTTTTTGGGTTCATTCTGGCCACTTTTTACAGCAATTTAGGAAGGCACTGATCATCTTAATAGAAAAATGAACAACTTAAAAGTTGTCTTTAGCTCTCTTACAGAACTCATAGGAAAAAATTAATTACTGTTAAAAAATTAAAGAAAAGTACTTTTTACACTCCTGATGATCTCTTTTATCTTCTGTACTTAAGGAATTTAGTAAAAAGTGATTAGGGCTATGATCAGATTTAGATCAGTATTTCTGTGAATTTAAAATAGGTTTAACCAAATCCTTTTCAGACTTCTACAACACATGGACATCTTTAAACTGAGGAAGCAACTCAGAAAGAGCTTTATGAGAGTATTACTTAACCTTAAATATGACAAAACAGCAAGATGTAATTTCTGTAGCATGGCATTAGCAGGAATTCATTCCTCCAATCCAATCCTATCCATTTCTGAGTAACAGCTACAGGACTAATGGAGATTTCACAAGCACAAGATGAAAAGCTCTTTCTCATAATGCTGTAATGTTCTGATGAAATTCTCCTCCGGAAGGACAAAATTTGCAGTGAAGAAGTCAGAATAAGAAAAGGGAATTTTCAAAAAATATTAACAGATAAAGGACAAGAGAGGACTAAAGAAATAGGACTGTTCTTATGGCCAAGTGCAACACTAATTCTACTTCTGCAGTGCTCTCCAGTTATGAAAACACATGTATTTAAACCAAAGTTCACACAAATAATGGCATTATTTCTCAGTAGGGACGGGTTTACAGTTACAGAAATATATTCTTAACAAACATATTTTTCACAGTAATTATTTTCTACATTTAAATCACCACTGACAAGCTGAAGCTCCTCATGACACAGTATTCAAAGACAGGTAGTCTACTGATGGGTTTACTATTCAGTCCTGGAAAAACACAAACAGCTGAAGTAACAACTGTTTTAATTCCCATATTCTCATTCCGGCAGAATACTATGTTTTGTTATAGCAAGCCTTTGAAACATGTTTGGGTCCTAAAACACATTCTAATAAAGCTCAACATAAAGTACAAAGGACAATGAAAATCATATTAGCAGTATCACCAAGTTTCAACCAGTTTTAACCCAGTAAAAGACTCACGTAAACAATAAATACTCTTCTAATAAGATATTACAAAATCCACAATTTTTTTGTGCGCTTCAGAAAATAAAACATGAACTTATTACAAGAAGCTCCCAGGCATTTCTATCTTCATTTTTAGTATCCAGTCTCTCATATATAAGACACAAAAAGGAATACTGACTGCAGGAAAGTTCCTTCTTGATGTCATTTTATTTTTCCCCACAGCGCCAATTAAAAGGCAGGAATTCTGAACTAAAACAACTGCCTATATTTAGATATTCATCTTCACCATATTATAGCGAGCACTACAATTTCTACTAACAGTGGAAGATTAAGTCTGTGACCAATTCAACACTAACAATTTTAGTCTTGAACAGATTAAAAATGAAACATTCAGAATGCAAGAATTTCTTCTTAAAAGTTGCAACGACTTCTATAAGTGCAGGTAATGACACATTTCTCTAGAAGAGTTTAAGTCATACTTAAGTATTTATGGTTCCTTTAACAATGCTTTAAAGTTTTTCTCTTCTCATCTTTAAAAACAGAACAATTTGTAATTATAACAAGATTTTAGGTATTTTGAAACATGCTATGAAGAGTATCAAGTATAACGATGAAGGCTATACAGGACGTTTTTTGAACTTGTATTTTGTTATTTTCACAAAATGACACACATTTTTAAAAAGCAGTTATCACAATAAACATCATTCCTCCAATCAGTTATTTTCAAAAGCGACTTCCAAATACTGCCATTCTGTTTTTGCTAAGCAGTAGTTCTCTTTCAAAGCAATAATTTGTTCAAAACCAAACACATTCTGCTCCACGGACACTGCTTCTTTCATACCAAGTAGATTTTTAAGCATGCATTGTTAAACCAGGGCTATAATCAAGAAAACTACATAACTTAAATCCTTTCACAGAAAAATAACAAACACTTTGTCCTCAATTTTTTTCAATAATTCTTTAAATGGAAAGGCCCTTATTTTAGGCTAGGGTTATTCAATTTTTTTGTTGCTTTTTCTTAAGAAAACCGAAAATTGGCAATTCGTATGGAGAGCTAATGGTCACAAAACTGAACGTAAAATACGTCACACTGCTTGTGCCGAATACCACATACATAAATTGTAACTCTTAGTATTTATATTTAGATGTGGGCATGGGAATATTTTTGGAGGGTGGAGTTTACAATTCACAGGGTAAAAGAGATGTCTGGGTATTCTGCACAAACATTCAGGATCTAAAATTACTTGTTTTTCGCTTCTACTTAAGCTCTAGATAGAGCGCATTGTACAGTTCTCTGAATTCTTTCACCTTTCTAAAAGATGTTTTGTCACAGAGATTTTTGTTTTCAGCTCCTTGCTTTAAAACTACAAAGGGATTTCTCCAATGTTTACCTGTCAATCTACTTTGTTATAAAATAAACCAGTTATATCCTAACATGCATTGTTTGGGGCAGTCTCCTAAAATCTAACACAGATACCTTAGCCTATGACTTAACAAGATGGCAGATCAAGCTTCAGGGTGCTTTACACAACATTAAAAATACTGCAGCTACCTGGCAATTTGTACAATCTTAAGAACTTTAAAATTGTTTTCAAATGTTTCCCTAACCAGAAAACTTGCTGGATCAGGTAAGACCTATTCGTAACCCTCAACTAGACACTGTCCATATCTGTAAAAAAAAAAAAAAAAAAAAAAAAAAAAAAAAACTGCTTAAATACTGCATTTGAGTTGTTTGACTAAGCTGGCTGAAACACGATCATGGTCAAAGCATTACTGTTTGGTGACCTAAGACCACACAGTTCTAGTAATAATGACTTTAGAATCATGACCTTATGTAACCACTCTGCATTTCTCTGTAACTTGGATGAGGTAATATCATCAGAAAAGGGCCAAATATTTCCACAATTGCTATGAGATAAAATAACTTGGAAGCCACTTCAGGCCATGCTCTCTGGAGCTAACTGGTAGGTCAGATCCAATCTCTGTAAGTATCTTTAATAACAAAAAAAAAAAAAAAAAATCTTCAATGATTTATTTGCTCTCTAGATAAATTCCTCAAATCAGTCATGGTTTCATCAATCAATAAGCCTGTTTTGTATGCTTCTGTTACTGAATGGAAAACTTTTACGTTAAAATTAATGTCACAAAAGTGTAACACAATAATGCTGTCCCATTTCACAATATGAAGCATGATCAAATCAGCTAATGAGACAATTTCAAGCACACAAACACACAAAATTAGTATCTCCCTAATTTTTAATTTGTGTAAAAACGTCAACTTACCAGATTTGTGCTTCTTGTGCTTTGCTTTCTTTTTGATTATAAACAACTTGTTCTGGATCTCAGATTTATAAGATTTGAATGAATGAAAGTGAATCTCACGCTTTCTTTGTAAGTCATCAAGTTTTCTCTGTAGATTTTCATTTAAAATGTCTTTCAGTTTCTTTTTTTTCTTTTTCTTCTTTTTGGCCCGCAACTTGTTAAGCTTTAGTTTCTTATTATTTCGCAGTGAGTTCTCCAACATTGCTTCTTTACCAAATTTGTGGCAATTCATGTCTGGATTGTCATTATGACTGCCATTAGCATGTATTTGGCAAGTTTTCAGGGTGTTCTCCCTGAATGGGCTGATCTCAGATTTCAATCTGGTAGCTTCGGCACAACTTTGTCCATTCTCTACAGCTGATATTTCTTCTGGGCTAAGGTGATCTCCAGCACCAACGGTCTCTCCTGGACTAACCAGCTTCCCCAAATTCTCTTTACAGCAATCAGTTTTTTGGATGTCACAGACTTCTGAAGTTTTGATTTCACAGTTAAGTTTAATCTCTTCTGTGGTGACTCTAAAGCTATCTGAGTGGATATTTTTCTCTGAACAGCTAACGATGGAATCCACGCTTTTCCCCAGTTCTGTCTTGGAACGAGGTTTCAGCTCTTCTCTACCACCAGAGCTGACCTCCCCATTGCTTTTGCTTACGTTTCTTACTCTCTCCACTTTAATCCGTGGTACTTTTCTTACTTTGATGGGAGGATATGGAAATTCAGGAGCCTGAAAAGGTTTTTGTTTGTAAATCCGAACATCTGCACCACAGAACTGTGGAAAATGAACATACGCATTCTCTAAGTAATCATAACCAAGAATTACTTCTCTGCATTCATGGATAGGCTGACCTAGCACAGCATCCTGAACATCTTTTTGTGTTTCATACACAAAGTCACAGAGACCTTTTAGTAACCACACTTTTTGGTAGAATGGAAGTTCATGAAATGGTTTTTCCTGCAAGGGATTAACTTCTCCAAGGACTTTAAAAAACTGGGGACACAGTCCAAGTTTTTCTGCAGAGCTATTAGGATTGTCAGTCTGCCCTACAACAGTATACCAGTGTTGTACTTTCTGTCTAAGTGCTGCTTCCCAAGCCCTATAAGGAAGTGTTGGTCTTCGATGTAATGTAGATCTGCGATGAGGAGGACTTAACAAAGAAGTCATTATTTTAGATAAAAAAGCATTACATTGAGGCATTAGAAGACAACGCTCCAATTCATAGAACACTATTTCAGGTAAGTTTAAAATCTGTTGCGCTAAACACAGGAAGTGACCAATAGCTGGAATCTCCCACATTGTCTCCATCCTTGTAGGGGCTGCTTGAGCTAAAAGTGCTTTTTCCCATTCTTCTACTTCTTTCTGACAAGCTTCTTCTGCTTCTTTTCTTTCTTGCTCTCTCAGCCTATTGAAAGAAAGTTCACAAGAATTCAGCTATCATGTGAACTAAAAGAAATAGTGAAGGGAAAATTAAAACTACAACATGAAAAACATACATATCTTAAAGTAACAAAGAACGCAGCACAAAAAAATAATTCAGTTTGTCTTATTTTACATTACACAGTGCATCATAGCACCAGCATGAGAAATTAGACTTCCTTATTCCTCATCACAACCAGTTTGGAAAACTGAAAAAAGAAGAAAAACCTGACAGATACCAATAGTTTGGGATATTTGTGCTGTTTTGGAGGGGTTTTTTGTTTTTTTAGTATGTATATTTTTCCTCTCCGCCCCTACTTTCTGGCACTTATTCAATATTTCTATGGTCCTGTACCAAACAAAAATGCTTTTGCTAACCAACTACCCATATAAAAAAAATCTCTTAAATAGCAGAGAAGCCTCATTTTCAAACTATTGTACTGCAGCTTGTTGTCACCTACCTGGTAACTCTCTTCTTTACTACAAGTACACATGCCTAACTCTTAAGTGCCTCACCTATTTACAAAAGCCCCCCCTTTTTTTCCCCACCCTTAGGTGTGTTACTAGTTGGTAGGCAATGATGGTCAAAAAGGAAATAAATTTTAGGGTATATGAAGAATGTGATGGAAAATAACACTAAAAATAAAATATCATTACATTAATAAATGGTTTGCCCTCACCTGGAAAACTGTATTCAGTTCTGGTCCCCCTATCTAAAAAAAGGATAGAGCAGAAATAATGGGTATTCAGAGGAAGATGTTATTAATAATCAGAGACCTGAAAAAAATTCCACAGAAAGAGAAGTTGAGAAACCTGTGACTCTAGACAAAACACTAGCAAGAAGAAACATGACAGCAGTATACAAAACTAGTATGAAAAGATATTTTAGTCTGGATACCTCAATTTACTTGTTAGTAAATTCATTGTAAAATTCAAATGCAACATGTTTTAAGAGGTGGAAATGCTTCCACTTCAGATCATCAATCCCCTTCAGATTACTAACTAACTTACTAGAATACAAGATATGTTAAGTTAGTTCCAAAGTGAAAAAAAGATATCTCTAAGGGTCATTAGTAATGGGATGGATTGTTCCTTAACGTTTCAAGGATAAACAAACATTTTTGCCTCAAGGCATGAGCAGACAGGAAAAATTTTCCTGGAAGTTTTTCTGGAAATTTCTTCTGGAACTGTTTTCAAAGCTTTTTCCTCTGAAGCTTCTACCAGTCACTGGTATAGAGAGATCACTGATATGATCTAATATTGAAATTTAGATTGCCTTATTTTCAGGTTTTCAAATTCTTTTCCTTCATGTAACAATAGCAAATGCTATGTAACAATACAAAGCACCAATGCTTCCAAATTCAGCCAAAGAATAAACAAATATTAAAATCTTTTCATAGCATGAAGCTGATAATGGTCTTCTAGCATGAAGAATGTGCATTTGCAAGTATAAAGTAATATTTAGACACCTCAATACTATCAAAGACATGGGACAAACCTAGCCCTAAGCCACATTTTGGTATTGATGCAGGAAAACTAAGCCATGATCACAAATTCATAGTTTGCGTCCTTTGTATGTGGGTAGTTAAGATGAGATATAATAATAAGATCCCAGTGAGAGTTTTATCTGAAATAAATAATTAAAATAAATTTGAAGTCGCTTGTTACCATAGCTTGAACATGAATTTTTAATACTATATATGTGCATGCTTGTTATTTATGTACCTAACAAGTGCAGAAATACAGATTCATGCAAAATAATGTAAATACAAACAGGTCAGTCAATTCTCAAATTAACTCTCCCAATGCAGCACTAATTTAATCATATCATGACCGTGATCTACGGACAAAAATCCCATTTGCCAACATCTCGTTTGAACAATCCAGTAAAGCCAACAGGACTACTTGTACAGTTAAAGTAAGCAATTCTTTTATTTTTACTTTTGTCCAACTTTCCAATGTTTTAATACTGCATTACTATAATAAGTGAAAAAATTGCTACAAATGGGGCAGAAGGAGAAAAGGAGGGTAAAAAATGTTAAAAAAAAAAACAAACAAAAACGAAACCACGTACTCTACTTTCTCCGTTTTAATTGTGTAATAGACTTTCAAATGCCCTGCTGCCTCCAAAGAGAGTGAGCACTATTAAAATAATATGGGAATAAGCTTAAATATCAATAGGTATACACTGACATGAAAAATATGTAGAAACAATTACCTATTTTAGTATAGTTTATTATACAGTATGTGCAAATAGTTTCACCAACACCATCCACATTGAATTTAAATTAAGGTAGAAGTCTCAAAAAAAAAAAAAAAAAATCCTAGATAGACCTTTGCCTAGAGCTTCAAAAAATATTATGTTATTTTTTAGACTGTTTTGAAAAGCAAAATGTATGTTATTTCACTTTCAAAAAGTTTACTTTTTTAAAAAGGTACCATTTTATAATACTCGCAGCAGACATTGGAGAAAAAAAGTGTAAAAAATGGCACACATCTTCGTTACTGAGCTCTTATACTAGGTGCCCATTTTTCAGATGACACGGCATTTTCCTGGAGCTTTCTTTGAGGAGAGGGAAAGGGAGGGAGGAAGAGGGAGAAACATTTGATATCTAACAGAACAAATATCCTTACACTGAGAAACTCTCTGGACAAAGACTTTGGCTTTTGTGCTGACAGCAACCATTAAAAAAAAGTTCTTTCCTACTTTTATTTTTACATTTATCAGGAATACGTTTGTAGACTTACATTTGCAATAGTAACACACAACTATTCAAGGTCAAGTTGACATTTCCAGACTAACAGAAGACAAAAATATTCTTGGAACATGTCATCTGCTGCAGTTGTTTTGTATCTCTTGAGTGGATAAAAGCATGGTGCATGACCTTAAAACTCAGTGGTCATACTCCCAGAGTAGAGATACCACACAGAACAGAGTCCAGGCATTAACTCCCAGTTTCTTATCATTTTCTTCCCTAAACCAGAAGACATATCTCACCAGCTAATTCCCCCTCCCCCCAAAAAAAAGATTTCACCTGGAGGGAGGAGGAGACAAAGACTAAATTGTACTGTTTTCCAGCAATTACCACTCCTAAACCACTGAAACGGTTGCATTCTTTTTCACAGCTATCTCTTCAGCTGCCCACTATTTGTCTGATAGCTCAAAAGGTAAGTACCCTTATGCTTTATGCTGAAAGGTGAAGCACTGAAACTCTGATAACAAGGAACCGGAAATTGTTTGAAATAGCCACAAGTTTGTTTCTACAAGCTTTAAAAGAAACGTACAAAATTACATATAAAATAGTAATATTAAGTATTATTCATATTATTAAATTATATTAACATTCAATAGTCGGAAGAAACTGAATTTGGGGGTGTCTGAGTGACCTTAATTCTACACTTCTAGAATCTTAAATCACTTTATCACATACTGTGAATTTTTCTGTAAGACCCAGTTCACTCCATACCCACAACATCCTCATAAAAGGCAAAATTGAGACTACGTAAGCACACCTTATTCCATAGTTTACCAATGTAAATGACTCACTTGCAACCTAAAGTGAATCCTTCAAATGGTTTCATACAAACCTCTGAAACTCACCTAACAACCACACTTCAGAGATGCTAAAGACACATAGAGGTACCTCACACACTTTTCAACAAGAATTGTACAGACACTTAATTCCCAGCGAAAGCAGCCCAGCAACCTGGATTATCTGTTGTTCACCAGGGGCTTTAAAAACTTCACTAAACATCTATCTCTGCTCTTCTGCATCTAAATAACTTTGAAAAGGTGAGCGTTCCAGATTATGTAACAATTCCACAAATAATTGTTGTTCACTAACATATAAGTTAGTATGTATGTATGTAACTTCATATGTAACTCAGTAGTTGAGTGGGCCCTCTATAGAGCTCCCAAGAAACGTTAACTGATAATCCAGAGATGAGAACACTGGAATAATTTAACAAATTTAATAAAGATTCACAAGAAAACTAAATCAAAGCTCATGCGTATATTAGGAAGAAAAAAAAGTACTTTTGTTGCTGTGCAGAAAGTATTAACTGCAAAATACTGCAACCAGCTTTGCAAAGATATTTTCTAAGATTTTCCATGATGGGTCTTCCATGATAACTATACCACTTCAGGGATGCTACAAAAAATTGAATACAAGGAAAAAAAAGGATTGTGTAAGGAATGGATAAATTACAAAAAAGGAAAAGACAACTTTACAGAAAGAATACCTACATAACATAAATGACAAAAGGATTAGGAATAAGATTTCCACAGACGTTAAAGAAAACAACAGACAACCACACTTTGGGATATTCTTCCAAAATATACATTTGAAGAAAAGCCTGTAAAATCAATTTTAAGGATTTTGTGGAAGAAAAACCAAAAACAACCCCAAACCTGAACTGCTGTTTTAAGGATTTTGTTTACTGCAATTCTTTCTACTAATGATAAGGTGTTAGTGATTCACAGAAGAATCTAAATCTCTAAAAGCAAAAGATGAGATATTATTTTGGACTTCAACAGGCAATTACTTTAGACTTGACCTAGAGTTTTGCAGATAGATACCAGCACAGGCAACTTTACTCATCTGGGACTGGAATTATGTATCTCCTAGCGAGGTGGATCAGCAGTCTAAAAAAAAGAGATGCTTGTTAGCTGGAAGGTACATGTATGCTGACTGGTTGGCTGGATGGCCAGAAAGTGAGCATGTTTTTGTTTTCCTAACTGCTCACCTGCAAGGAAGCTTTAACAGCAGGTGCCATCAGCGAAAACACAACTCATTTCCTAGCGTATAGTTTTATGGAAAATCAGCAGCAGAGCAAGACTGGGAGGGAGGAAGGCAAGATGTATATAGCAGGGTGTAAATTAAAATCTTACACGATTTACCCCCTCATTTGCGTTGAATTTCATAGTCAATAATTATACTCTGGCACTGGATAGCTTATCCATCTTATAGCAACAAATTTGGACAGTCATTCTTTTACAACTGTGATAAAAGAGTCAGTGAAACAACCAAATAATAAGAGGATAGCAATTGTTTTACTGATGAAATAGTGTTTTAATACTAAGAATAGTTTATACCTTAAATTTTTAAATTTGCATAAAAAGAAATACTGTATTAACTTTTCATGGCCTGAAAAAGATGGGAATAATTGTTCAGGACCACATAACTTCATTTGAATATTCCTTGAAGATTTTCCTTGCAGACGAGCTTTAAACAGATGAAAATGTAATTTCAATTCAGCCAACTCCACGGTTTATTACAAAAACAAAAAGTGAGATTCGAAGCCAAATTCAGTGATGAGAATCTCTATCTGCTGATGCACCAAGTCTGCAGCTCTAACAAATACTGCAACGGGATTATTAAAAGGAAGGCCCTGTACACTCCAGTTATGCTACCTATGGGTTGCAATCTTGCACCTGCTTCTGAAATGAATCTATTCTGTGCTAACCTCAGTGTATCAGATTTCTAAAAAAAGAAGCTGAATAAACCTCTACTCTTCATAAAAGTATATATTCAGCATTGTCCGTATTTCAGTAATAATCCAAAACAACTTTAGGAATCTGTACAACTTTTTTCAATAAAAGTGAATGAGGTCTTATTTTAGTGTTGCAAATATGTGCTCTTATATAAATTTAACACTATGAAAGTTCCTTTAAGTTGTCAATAATAATGTGTGACCTTAACCAGTAATGTTTCATTAATTTTATAGGCCTTCCAACTTCCAAGTCTTTTCTGCAAGAACATTAAAAAAAAATCCCCCAAATTTAAATGCTGAATGTTTGCACTATGTTACGCAGGGAAGTAATTTATATAGAGAGGTCCACGTTAGTTTGAAAACATGGTGGATCCATTAGTAAATAAGAAAAATGAAGAAGAAAAAGCATGATTATTTTCCTGGATCAATACAGTTCAAGTAATAGCAAATAAGACCAGCTATCTACTGATACATTTCTAATTCTTCCTATTAAGTGATATAGTGCAAAATCTTAGGGCATAAAGAGGAAAGTCAGTTGTGATTCCTTTCTTTTCTTGTAGAATGTGCAGTAGAATCAACTATTGTGGACTTTCTTTCACACAAAATCTGGGACTTTTGAGTATGATCAGATGCATGTATAACTGTTAATTACTATGGTTTCGTAGAAAAGTGTTTAATATAAGTATATAAAAGCAAACTTTGGAGTTGGTAATACATTCTACAGACTCTATAGGTTAATTAAAAATCTATCAAAATAGCCTTTTTCACAACTGTGCTATCAAGTTCAGAGGTCAAGAACACAGACACGGAGTTGAACACAGCTCATGTAAATTTTACCAGAGAAACAATAACCCCAGTGACCTTTGGTTTTTTCCAGTGTGCAAAGTATGAGGTGAATTAGAGGAGGAGAATACAGACCTAACAGTTTCTAGGGGAAAAGGAACTGGCTAGCACCCGAGTTAACTAAAACTGTACGGCCTCAAATGAGCTGAAAATGAGGAATACTTGCAAAGTCTGAGTAAACTGGTTAAAACAAGAGAAAAATGTCCAAAGCTGTACAGTGTGAAAAAAAGCTGGAACTATTTTGACTTTCAAAGCTAACAGTCTTGCTATCACCCTCCACGTTCAGACAGTCTCTCAAGTTACTGTTAAAATACACATGCTTATGAGCTTCACACTCTCAACTAAAGTGAAACATGTCACAACCAACATCAAATGCTGTCTGGTATTATACTCCTCTTAAATTTATGGACTTAAAAAAAACCCACAAAAATTGCACACACTTAATTACATATACCTTCTAAATGCATTACCTAACCAACAAGGTGAAATGCCTCATTGGTGAGATAACAGGAGCTGTACTGGTAGACATAATTTGCCTCTGGCTATTAGTGAGAGTAGCACTGACAGGTTCATAAAGCTAGATTGTAAAGCTAGATTTTGGTAGTATTTATATAACTGCTGCATGAAAAATAGTCCAAGGAGAGGTACAACAAATCATGACTGAGCTAACAGGAAATGTGGCAGTGGATGCTTTCAGTTGCTGTCAGAAGTTTCGTAATACTAAATAACAGCAGCCTTAAACCATTTAAAATATATGCTTTAGAATTCTTTTCAATAAGGGATAAACCAAATTTCTTGCTTTGGGGAGGCACTGTATTGAAGTCCTGCGTTCATAAGTGAACTCAAGAATAGGAGCAGCACAAAGTTTAGTGACCTAAAGTAGCCTTAAAAAGTTGCTTTAGAGAAGCAGGGAGACAGGATTATTAAAAAACAAACAAAAAAAACCCTTACACCCCACCAATTTTTCCAGTTTTTCCTATTACCTCTTTTCTTCTTTTGCTCTCAGCTGTTCCTCCTGTCTCAGAACCTGAACCATTACAGACTCAAACATGCCTGTTGACAGGCCTACTAAACTGCGAGGTGTGGAACGACGTCTTGTTGAAGTGCATACTGTTCCTTTCTCATCTTCCAGCCCATAGCATCCTCTAGATGTTACAGCTATTGATGTTTTCTCTCTCAAATGCCTAGAAGGAAAAAGTAAGTCAATTCACAATTACAATTTCCCTTACCAGCGGCAGTTTAATGCCTACACTTCCGACCACAGATCAAGCATATTTGCTCAGAGAAACACAGTTACTGTTCATCTGCCTTTCTGAAGACTGCCAAATTTTTCATTCTGAAGGTTCCTTTACAGAATTTTAAACTTAAAAATCATAAACTGACATAAGTTATATTTTTTGTCTGTTAAAAATGGCAGATATCTATCTCAAGTAACCGAATATCAATTGGAAAAAGAATTTCCTGTATTTATCTAAAAATATTTGGACAGAAAATAGTTTCACAAGCCTGGAAGTAAGGAACTAGCATTTTCAGAAGACAAAAATACTGAGACAAAATATGGGGGGAGGGAGGTGAATTGTTTTAAACAGTGTGATTAAAAACCACCTAAAAGGAGTTTAGGTCTGTTGAAAACATAAAAAAGATGAAAATCAAAACCCCTAAACCCATAGACTTATGAAGTTTCATTTCAGCGTATATCATGTTTTGAACTACTCTAGCAGACATAGTGTCAGAAGACTGACACTGTCACACAAACTCTGAAAACAATTGGCAGAAAATACAACAAACAAACCCCCCTCTATTTTCCTGAGCCAAACAACGTGAACCAAATTTTTCAGGGGAATATTAGAACTGGAAACTATCCACAGTGAATAGCTGTTCCAGCATGGAGTTCATATGAGTGTACGCATCTCGTTCCCTGCCCCTAGAAGATATACAATCAAGGCTAATATGGCAACAACTCAGAGACCCGTACAACAGAGATTATAGATTACAGATTAATCTGCAGGCTGCCAGAAGAACGCTGGTACACACAGCAGCCTGAGGACCAGCACTATTATATTCCAGAAGGCCACTTAAAATACAAAGAAACTGGAGAGAACAAAAACATAGGCTCAAGCTCAAAGGAGGAAAACTGACTTGTGCCTCATGGGGCTGCTCTGTTTCAAGAACTACAGCATAAAATTTGTGTAAAATTATAAAGCTAGCAGGTACTGAAATACCATGAAGAGGAGCCCTACAAAAAGACTGAAGGTATTAGTGCAGACAAGTTACTAAAAGATAAATGAAAACAGGTGGTCACACACACTCCATGGTAAGCCAGCAAGTGCAGTGCTCACCACTTTACATATAATCTTCCTTACTAAATAAATTGCCTGGTTGCTAATATGGCTTAGAAGCATTTAAAAAAAGGAGGGGGGAGGTCTGGGGGGGGGGGGAAATAGACTTGGTGACACACCACACACTATACTTCAGTTCAGACATTATTTGTGTTATTAGACCATCATGTTGAGGGTCTGGATACAGAGGATAGCTCTTTAATTTTCACTTCTGATATCTCACCCTTGGCACATCCTCTTCCCCAGGAAGAGAATTCCTGCATTACTGCAAGACTTCCAGCAGCGGCATGTAATATGGCATCATGTCAGGGTATAGTTACATAACATTTTTTTGTTGGCTGGCTTAATATATGATCCCTGGCCTACTACTTCTCCTCCTACTCCCTGTTACACCTTCTATTGTGTAACCCAGGCCACTGAAACAACGAGCTGAATCCCCCCCCAAAAAACACCTCCACCCTCCTTAAAAAAAATTTACAAAAAGTTCCCTTGGCACAACTGAGAGGGCAGGTAAACATGGTATGGCAGAAGGAATGAATAACCAGTGACTGGAACTTCTTAAATAATCTTTCTTTACCAGCAACCTAAACACCTCACAACACCACATTTGAAAGTATAGAAATATATATTCTATAAACCTGAAAGATTTTTTTCACTACCTTCTTCTCAGAAGAATTGAAATAATGCTATCTATTTAGCTAATCTTCCAAGAAACAATTCAAGTACAAATTTAAGGTACATGGTTCTTTAATTATGTTTATACAGAAGCGTGTTCTGCATAAAGCAATCATATGAGGGACCTCGGAATTATGTTCTCTAGCGATACCTCAGTGCTAATTTGGAGTTGTTTTGGGATATTTAAAACATTTGATCTGAAAAGCAGTATACTTAATTGATGTTCTTTTAATCACAGAAACACACACAAAAAAAGCATTTTTCCACACCAAAGGCCTGATCAGCCTCAACCCCCAAACTCCACTCTTTTGTTGTCTTTACTCCAGACATGAAGGCAACTACAGAGTATCATCCCCACATAAATTTATTAGAGAAGGGTAGGGCTTTTGATGCACAAAAGAAAACTTGCTGGTAGCCTGGGTGTATGTGGTCAGCTTGTTACGAAGCTCCCATATCACACACTGGAAACACTAAGGAGTGCACCAGCTACTTTAGCACCCAGGACTCTGCTCCAAGTTCTTATTGCTCCAGCTTCAAGAGTCAAAAGATTAGAGGGTGCCTTCCTTATGAACTCACAAGACATTTCTAAGTAGTTTCAAAGCAATATTTAAAAACACAGCTTCCAAAGAAGGAATACTGGGAGACATTATGAAGTATCCGATAGTTAAAGATTGTTAAAAAACCTGTAACTGGAGCAACTGAAGTACCCTCTTCCTCCCACTCCCATCTTCTCTTATATTAAATTGAATGATAGCTTTGCTGCAAGGCAAGTGTGATTAACAAGCAAAGGCAACAGAAAGATAAGTCACCAGAAAGTACCTGGTGTACAGTACCTTCCACGGAAAAAAAAATCCTGTTTCTTGGTAGGATAGCAAGACCATTCTCTTCATCAGCAGCATAATGGAAAACTGCATCCTTAATACTTTAAGTTTCTCTAAAACTTCAAGGCAGAAAGACATCTTTCTCTATGATACAGCAATCTGTCCTGCAGTTTGCTTAAGAAATGCTTCCAGTATCTCCCAAATCATGGGAGAAAGGAAAGAGAACAGGGAGGGAGACAATGGGGCATCACCTATTTCAAGAGAAGTTTACTTATAAACATTTTAAAGCTTGGTGCAAGTCGCTGCTGCAGGAAAATTAAGATCAAATACAAAGGCTGTTTACTATAGGAAATAAATTTCCTATTTTATAAAAACATACTTTATCAAAGTAAGATTTCCAGGCTTATCTAGTGAACTGGAAGCATCTGTTACAGAATTTACACAGCTAGTTGTATGGGGAACAGCATTATTCAATATTTTTATAACATAAGTAACTGTAACGGAAAACAGAATCCTAGAGCACTCTTAAACCATCTTTTGACATTGGAGCCGTTCATGTGTGGTTTCTGTTTCATGCTGAAAAGACATCTCCTTTTCATAAGGAAAACAGCATGTTCCCCAAGAACGTGGCTGAATCTACAGAAAAGGCAGTAAACTTAAAATGCAGTGCTCTCGTGCTTTCAAGCTAGTATCTGAGACTGAACCAGCTTTTGCGCTTCTTTCTCTTTGCATTTCACTCCAGCTGAAGAAATCCATACAAATTTGTCCAATTTTTAAGGCTTTACAAAATAAAGGTGCCCCCTCTCAGCTGTTAAAAATATTAGTGGCTAAATTCTATATTTCAGGCTATGCATGCATCAGAAGGTAGAAAGGGGAGTATGTAGAATACAAAAGTTCTCAGAATGGGACTTGTCTTCACAGCCTCTGCCTCATGTTTTGAAGAGGCTGTGTGGTACACAATTAAGCAGAAGGAAGAGAGTGGACACAGTTAGGAAAGATGAATGAGGCACTTTGACATCTGCAATCTATTTCTATCTCTGCATTAATTCCCTGTGATTCTTACCAGGTTACCTAATTCAGACTTTTCATAAACATCTAATTGCAGATTCCTTATTTACTGAAAAAGGAAACGGAAGAACCTATCACTGGGCTTTGAAAAATGCGTTTGTGTGGCAGAGGAAGGGAGATGGAAAGTAGGCCAGAAACTTTAGAGAGGAAATAGTTGGGCCTCCTCTTCATTCTCCAGCTTCTCATTTGTAAAACTAGACTAATAACGTTACCTCAACTCTTACAGAAATATTGCAAGGAAGTGTAACACTGTACTGAATAGCAAAAAAGTGTAAATCCACCAGTTTGCAAAGCAGTAGTCATACTGAACAGCAAAGAGGAAAATACTGTTCAACTTGCACCTATGATGTTGGGAGGAGGTTGGGAAGGGGACAATCAGGGAGAAGCAAAGTGGACAAACAGTGCTACTTCAGACAAGTGTAAGGACTAAAAACAAAGAACTAGGAATACAGTCAATCAACTCCGACACTTCCTAAGCTTGAAGCATTAGACACTACATCATGAACAGTATTTTTTAAATCAACTATTTAGGCTGTGGTTTCACGACCTGTTGAAACCAACCCAAATGCTGGCTGGCACTCACCACAGGGCAATCCCACCTAATCAACTCCTGACCCCAACTAGCACAACTCCCCTATCTAGTTCAAAAAAATCGGTCTTACTAAATTTTCAAAAGCTGTCTAATCAATTTTCACCAAGAATACGTTTTTCAGTAGGTGTGCACTTGGATATGACTTAAATGAATCATAAAACTGCAATTTTAGAAGTTAGAAATGATTTATAAGGGACAGGCAAGTAGGTAGATTTCTGCTTGACTTCTTAACTCTAGGTGTATGAGAGTGAGCTGAAGTCTGAATTAGTTTACCTTGCATCAGACATTCAAGATTACTTTTCACTCGCTGTAACATAAAAGCATACACTTACACAATTACTGTAGAAGCAGCCAACATGCAGTAGCATGTGTATTCATGTTCTCAGGATACACCAGAAGTACAATGTGAATTAAATCTAGCATCTTCTCCTTTGAAAAAGATGGTTTCACCTATACAAGTTTCTGAAGAAAATAGGCTTCAAAGATTTCATGCTTTCCTTGACAGGACTCATGAAGAAGGTGATGTCTCTGATAAAATCTGTATTAGCACAACTAAATATTAATCTGTTCTGTCTTTATAGACTGAAATGTTAAATCAGAAGATTCTTTGGATAATCACGAATATTTTTCCACTTCTGAATCTGCAAAAGCTTCATGCAGTCTTTTATGATTAAATAGAATTATTTGAC